TCCCGCCCGCCTCGTCCCTCACACTGCTCCACCCTACACAAGATGAAAACGAACTCAAAACCCATCATCGAACCTATGTCCCCTCGTCCGCGCGGCCCACTCACCATACGCGTGCGCACTCTCCCGGCGAGCCGTGCGCGGCGGGGTGGGACTGAGCCGCCCTCGCGCAGGCGCACACGCACCACGCGCGGCCACGCTGCCTCCAGTACTAAGTCCTGGCGCTTCCCATGTTGCCCGGGGGAACGGTGGTCAGGTTTTTAAGGGTTTTTTTTGTTTTTTAACTGGAGATTGAACTCAGGGCTTACATCTTAAGCCAGTCCACCAGCCCTTTTTTTTTTGATGGGCTTTTTAAAGATAGGGTCCCACAAACTATTCAACTCAGGTTTCTAACCGTGATCCTCTTAATGTCTGCCCCCTGAGTAGCTAGGGTTGCAGGGGTGAGCCACTGGCGTCCCGCTAGTTTTAAGGTTTTAACGAGATCCAGTTAAGCACACTATTTTGCACCGAAATGTTTCCGCAGGGCTTCCTTTGACTGTTTAGTCAGGCTGACTAAAATATTAAACCGAGGCTTCATAAAATTGGACCAGAAAGATCCTTATAGATCAATTTCAGTTCACGAGTTACTTCCAGCAATGATTTTTGTCATCAGTTGGAGATCACCCTGTAATAAATCTTTTTTGGGGGGTTGGGAGTGGTACTGGGGTTTGAACTCAGAGGCTCAGGCGTGCTAGGCAGACGCTCCTCCTAATCTCTGCCTCCTGAGTAGCGAAGATTTACAGGCGTGGCCACTGGCGCCCTGCTGAAAAGGTCTCTTAAAAAGTGGACTCAGTTGCTTTTTGAGCAAGGGTGTTACCTAGGCTGGTCTGTAACTCTTGAGCTCAAGCTATTCGGCTGGGGCTACAGATAATACACAACCATGCCTAGCTCTTTTACACACACACCCCTTATTATAAAAACATTTCTTCCACTTTTGAGTGCTTTATCACAAATTAAGTTATTCTATGCATGATGCAAAGGATACTCCCTAGAATTCTAGTGTCTTAAGATACTTTAAGACTATTGTAAGTGAAGTTAGCCAGGCTAAGAAAAAGGCCTCATGTTTTCTCTCATATGTGGGAGATAGACACAATACAAATACAAGCTCTAACAGGAGAAGGAGGGTAAAAGAATGAAGTGTAAAAAGTGAATATGGTGATTTTCTATACAAGAATGAATATAGAATTTTTAAACCTGCTAAGGGGACAAATAGGAAAAAAATAGAGGGGATGAACCAATTTGTATTATAATACATATATAGTGGTAATGCCACAATGAAACTCCCTGAATAGCTATCTTAACAAAAAATGCTTTTTCAAAAACGGGGAACAGGAAGGTAAAACGGGTCCTGTCTGGGGGTTGGTACCAGTGGGAGGAAGGGTACAAAGAAAGGGTGTAAGAGGGTTAATGTAGTGGAAATGTCTGAAAATGGAAAAATAAGACCTGTTGAAACAGTTCCAGGAATGGGGGGAGAATGATGGAGGGGGGAACTCAACTATGATCTATTTCAAGAACTTTAGTAAATGTCACATTGTACCTCAGTACAATAAAAAATGGTATTTGGAAAAAATCCCAAAAAGAACATTAAAATGAGAATCTGATTAAGATCTTATAAGCCTTGCCATATACATTAGTGTAGGAGCACCTTTAGGCGTGAAGTTAAACTTGATAACCAAGTTACAAAGAACTAGTGATGGTACAAAACTCACTTTGGGAATCACTTATTAGGATTTTGCTGTTGCAGAAACAAATACAGCAGAAACGTAAGTCGCTGATGCTTTGATTTCAGTGGTCCCTTCCAAAATTCAGATGTTGCCAATACAGTATGAAGTGGGGCCTTGAAGAGGTGACTAGACCAAGGAGACTCCTCCTCATGAATTGCACTAAGCCCATTATAGGGTGTTGGTTCTTTTTCACTCTTCCTTCTTCAGATGCCCACACCCCTACTTTGTACTCTCCAACTATAGGATTGAAAAATCAGTTTCTGCTCTTTTAAGTGAGCCAGTCTCTAGCATTTTTTTGTAGCACCACAATGGATTAAGACACTTTAAACTTTTACATAGATTTTTTTCTCATTTTAAAACAGAGGGCTGGAGGCGGGGCTCAAGTGGTAGAGCACCTGCCTACCAAGTGAGGCCCCAAGTTCAAGCTCCAGTACTGCAAAAAAAAAAAAATCATATATGCTTCATAAATTCCATTGCATTTAAAAATTTCTAAGAACCGCATTTTACTTTAAATATATCTAACACAATGTTAAACACTTGATAGTCATTAAACATTCAAATATTGTGATGTCTTCCATACAATGTGATATAAGCCCTAGCTATAACCACCATATTCACTGTCTCTTCTTGGTTTTGTTTTTTGCTGTTAATGGGGTTTGAATCCAGGATCTCATGCTTGCTAGGCAAGCATTCTACCACTTGATCCACTCCACCAGTCGTTTTTTGTATTATTTTTAAGATAGGGTCTGTCCAAATATTTGCTCAGTGGTGACTTCAATTCCTGATCCTCCTGATGTCTCCTGAGTAGCTAGGATGACAGCTTAAGCCACCAATGCCTCGCTTTAAATTTTTTCACTGGACAGATTTATGACCTCATGATAAAGATGATGGACCTAAGGAAATGAGTGTCACCTCCAAGTGGCTTTGGAATTCAATCTATCTGTATCCTGTATTCTACCTGTTCAAACAGCTTTCCTAGGTCAGTCTTCAGATAGGACCACACAGGGCAGCCGTTATAAGCAGGGGTACAAACGACAAGTTTCACTACTAACACATTTTGGGCTAAAAAAAAAAAAGGAGTATTTGAAGCCCAATCTAGCAAAGTAGGCAGAAGGGATCAGTCTCAGGACTTTAGAACACCATCGCTGACTCACTTTGAAACACTTTGCACATCCCTAGGGCGCACTACTGACTTACCTTGGTTTGTTCATGCTCAATTAAAAACAAAACAAAACTCAGTAGGTTGGTTGGCTTCTGTGCTGGAACTGAGACAGTACTGCTACTAGTGCCAAGTAAAAATTTCCAGCAAATATGTCCTTTGCTTCTATTTAGTTTAAAAACAAAGTTTGGCTGAACTGTCACTGGAGATGACAATAGAAGGAACAGGCCCATTCTGGAACCCAATATTTAAAAAAACTGTCCCATAATCCAGTCAACATGCCAAAGGCATCAGCTACAAATCACTCCATCTCAAATGGCAAATGACTGATTAGCCTACTCCACCCTCAGTAAGGAGAGGAAACAAAATTTCTAAACACACTACTTACTCCTCAACAACCTAATTTTTCTTTTTCTACCCTTAGAGTAGAATCGACTCTCATTATTATTTAAGACACATGGATGGGAATTCAAAGTAAAATGCATTTTCTTCCTTAAAAAAATTAACATTTCACTGAGTATGTGTGAAAAATTTTCAGTTGGGCAAAGGATGAAAGTCTATGTAGCACATAGACTTCCCTGAAAAAGCCAAAAAGAATGTCTCAAACTACTGTTTACTTACAAGTAATAGTATATCGAATTGAATGATCTAACTCTGAAATTGTTTCTAAAACTGTGGGCTGAGATAAAATATTACAGAATATAAACAAAATTCTGGGTTTTTTTCCTGGATATTCTGTAAGGGTTTTTTTTTTTTTTTTGGGGGGGGGGTTTCTCCCAGAAGAGAATGAAAATATTGCTTTATAGATGTCTTTCATTTAAAATTATTTTAGGACCATACAATGTTCCCAGTGTCAATCATCCTATGATGACACATGAGCCAGCATTATTCTAGCAACAGTCTAGCTAAGCATCCATGAACAAATAAATCACACATGATCGAAACAAAAATGTAATAAAATATTTAGTGAAAAAACATTTTAACTCCCATTTGTGAACTTTGAAAATACAAATAAAATTTTATCAATTTGATATTCAGCTTATAACTGGCTCAATACATATTCTTTGATTTCCTGAAATCATATTGGAGCATCTTCTGAAAACTTAAATGCAACTTTATGCCTTCATTAGTTATGTTACTAGAGATAAATATTTAAACAGTACACTTAGGCCTGGCTCTCTTAAGAAAATTGAAAACTCTTAGTGTAAGTTTGAAGTTTTAATATTTATAAATTTAAAAAATTTTACATATAGCTGAATGGTAGCAGTACTAACATTTTGTGACCATTAAACCAAAAACTCAAACTCACTGCATAGAGCTTCTTTCTTTGTACAGAGAACCAATCCACAATGGCAATATTTGCAATTTGTCATAATTTTGTGGTAGAAGACACCACACCAGTTAGTCGGGGCTTGGAGTACACCTGAGGTCAGACCCCCAGTAGGGACATTGGGCAGATATAGTATTTAGCTTGAGGTGAGGAATATTTATTGTTAGTACATACCTGACAGCTGCTAACAGCTAAGAGGCCTACAGGTGTCAGATAGAAAAAGAAAATCAAAAGTCCCTACTGCTGAGAAGCCCGGGACTTTAATATGTGAAGAGGAAACCACAGTGGGGGGCGGGGGGAAGGCAGACGATTGTGACGATTGTGCTGGGAGTCTCAGGTGTAACATGCAAACCACATGTTCCTGTTTGTACTAGGGAATCACCACTGGAGCTGACTCAGACTTTCACAGAGAGCTACAGGTCAAAAATAGGTTCCTCCATCTTCTTCAAAACAAGCTGAATGGATGCCTGTTATTAAGCTTCTATCTTTACCTGGACCAAATATATTCTTTGGATACTTATGTCATGGGTCCCCACTATCATCAATCAGGCTACTTCACATTTCTTATAACTAAATTAAAATGTCTGAAGTTCAACTTGAACCATGGCACTTCAATTTGAGCTTAATACAACATATAATTAGGGCATTTTTCTTTCTTTTTTTTTTTTTTTGGTGGTACTGGAGTTTGAACTCAGGGCCTCATGCTTGCTTGGCAGGCACTCTACCACTGAGCCACTCCACCTGCCCTTTTTGGTATTGGGTATTTTAGGATAGGGTCTTGAGAACTATTTGCCTTGGCTGGCCTCAAACTGGGATATTCCTGATCTCTGCCTCCCAAGTAGATAGAATTATAGTTGTGAGTCACAGGCGCCTGACAAATGTGGGCATTTTTCAATTTTAGAAAATCAACTTTTAAAGAATTCTTAAGTACAGTGTTTTCAGAACATAGTTACCAAGTCAGAGAATATCCATGTACAATTAAAAATAATTTAAAATATTATATCCTCATTATCTATGTTGCTTTGTAGAAACATTTACAGAATATTATGTTAAAACCTCATTTCCAAACCTGTTTCTTACTCTCTGAGTTAAAAAAAAAACAAAGAACTCCTAAGGACTGAGGTTCCTTCTGACTCAAAAAATTACTATTTTATTCAGGAACCAATAATGACAATTACTGGTCAGAGACAGCTAACTTAGTAAGGTACGATTACAACTGCCTCTCACAACAGAGGTGGCAAACAAAATACAAGTAAAATTGTAACAGGTGAAATAATATTTTTTAGGGATTAACCAACACTGTATACTAGAGACTCGAACTTGAAATACTTGAAACTGACTGCTACCTTCCCTTTAATACTTGAGACGTCCGTGAAAGTATTAATAGAAATAGGAGATACAGTGAAGTTAGGATTATGAAGACTTGGTATTTTTGGTAAAAGAGAAAGTTCAATCAAAGACAATAAAGGAAGTGTTCAGTAATGCTGATTGAGGAAAATTATATAGATGTTTAACATGAAAATCATAAAAAAGAAAAGTAGTAATCATCCATCTCAACAGAGTAATGTCATTAGATGCAATTTACATTAAGATTCAATTCTTAAAATCAGTTTGAAAAAAATTGGAAAGTTTGTTTATACACAGTATTATCATACTTTGTACTTGAGGAAAACTCAACAGAGTAATATTCACATGCTACTGTCTTTGAACAGAATAGGAGGCAGGCAGAAAGACCCCAATTAACTGTTTGAAAGGACACTGTCAAACACTGGAGCTATCCAGGCAGCCACCTGCCCAGAACAAGGACAGCAATGAAACCACCCTTTTTTAACAGAGCTACAAGAACATAATTACAGGTACTGTTACATTAATACCAACTGTAGGCATACAAAGTCCTTAGTGATTGTGTCTTGGGAAACAAATGGATCAAGGAACACAAAATGAGGCAAAAACTGAACAAAGGATATATGGAAAACTACAGGCTATCGAGGATACTACAAAAAACAACAGCAATTTAAAACAGAAAAATCTTTAAAAATACCTGACAGTGCCCCTTTAACATATATTCAAAAAGGGTACAAATAATGTTTTTGTTTCAAAAGATCTTTCAACAACCTAACGTCAATTTTAATTAGAAAAACTAGAATTAAGCCAGTGTTCTCAATACCCACTGGGTCAAGAGCATTAAGCAAAAATAAAATCTGAAGAGCTAATAAACATAGCTAAAGACAGAACTGGACATAGTAAAACAAAAGAACCAGACTCAACAATATGCAATCAGGCAAGCAAATCATCACACCCTAAAGAGTTTGTCCACTGATGAAGTAGACACTGCTACCTAGCATATGATGGTGTCATTTCCCATTTGCCACTACTCAACATTCTGGTGAGCTCTTAAGCATTATTTGGTCCAATCTAAAGTCCATTTTCTTTTAATTAAAACTGGCCTAATAAAATGGCAGTACCACAATAGGATCAGGGCAAAATCTAGCAAATGTATTGTGATCTGTATGTAAGTCTAACTTGCCAAGGCATTCCTTTCCTACTCAGCTTTACCTTTAGTAACAACTTGATTACAGTTTTGTCCTGACCTGTGGATCTATGCAGTCCGCTGTGTGTCTCAGTGCCCTTTGGCAAAAGGACTCTATTTATTTCACACACAGAAGCAGTAACAACTGCTGAGGAAGCTCAAGGAAGCCAGGCAACACAAAACACCAGGACGAAGGCAAAACAAGATGATTACTGCTGCATGTCATGTTAAGTTCTTTTAAGGAAAATAACTGAATAATCAATGCTTATTCATGAAGAGTGATACTGGTTTTCTTTCTAGCAGCATTTTAAGGTGTTTTTGCTCCACCTTTTATTGTTGCTGAGTGGTGATCAAATTAAGAGAAAATATCCTCAGAAGGTATTAGGCCTTTCTTTCACTCATACCTCCTGTGGTCGCCAGCCAGGTGTGATGTGACTTAAATCCTCCAGTTTTGTTAAACAGAACTGGTAGCACAGAGTTAAAGTTTTACAGAGCATCGCATGTAAAGATGTACATGCTATGTGCAATTCAGGCATAAAAACTGTACCTGCAGGATGATTTAGCAGATAGCTGTCAAGAGTATGAGGAGGAGAAAGCTTGCCCCTCCATGGCAGTCTCAGATGCACCTGTGCCAGAGTCCTCTACTTGTCCCTGTGACTCTGGTATTGCAATGGGCAGTTTCAGTGGCTCATTTCCATTATTTAAGCTGGCACAGAATTAAGGGGAGCATGGCAGCAGTATAAAAATCCTAATTAAAAAGATCAAACTAGAAGACCCCCAATTTTTTTTTTTGAGCCACAGCTGGCCTAGAATTTACTATGTAGCCCAAGCTGGACTCGAACTCAAGATCCTCCTGCTTCTGCCTCCCAAGTGCTGGGATTACTGGCCTATGCCACCACCCCCAGCTAAAGTGACTATTTTAATCTCTGACATTAAATTTGTGTAGCTCTTGTGACATGAGGGTTAACACCCAGTTTAGCATAATTATTGCCCCTAATGCCCCAATGTGCAATAGTCTGTGTGAATCAGTAATTCACATCCTTTAAAAAGTTATTGCTTAAGCAAGCAATTCGGAGTAGATATGGGCTATGTTGCTGGATAGAAACATACTGAAATCAACTACACCGGCCATGCCTTTCATTTCACTCAGAAACCCACATGAGTACATGATCAAAGGGGCCACAGGCTCACAGCAGTCAACACCCTAAGCCAGCTCTGAAGCATCAAGACTTGATTTCTTACTTTCAGACAAATCTTCTCTGTTTTTGTATTTCCCTCTTAAAATTAAGGCAATGAAATGGCTACAGTTCCTAAAGTTCTTTTTTCGGAACAAAAATACACACATATTTTCCCTCTTACGTTCAGGTATCAGAGTATGATTAGAGATCTACAATAATTACACACAAAACTTGCAACATCAGGTATGTGGGGAAGCGGAGGAGGTAGGGAAAGGGGGAAGAGGGAGGAGAGACAGACAGACAGACAGACAGACACACACACACACACACACACGAAAAGAGAAGCCAATGAAAACTTGGTGATCATCTTTCTTCCTGCTTAATTACAAGCCTAGGCATTGAAGGGAGGGAGGAAAGAGTTTCCAATGTCTCTTGCATTGCTTCAAAATTCTGGGGTTTTTGAATGAAGGGGAGATTATTATTAAAATGAAGACTCCAGGACCCAGTAACCGAGATTCTAATGAAAATCTACAATTGGGCCCAAGAATCTGGTTCCTTAAGTGAGGCAGGTGATCTGTGGAAAATATTTTGAGAAATATTGCCCAGAACAGATCCACCTAATATTCAATAACAGATTCTAACTTTGGCTAGCCACCTGTTTTGAAGAATGGGAAAAAGGCACTGAATATGCATTTCATGGTGCCCATATCTGTTTGCACATATATGGAATTGCATTTTGAAAATTTTAAATCACCATTCAAAATCTAGAAGACACGTATATGACAGATCATGGCTAACACCTAACGGCAGAAGCTGATTCAAAGTTGACCTCTCCTGTTTCACTGCATTCGGTATCAAAGTTTCAGGCTCTCCAAAATCCAAAATGGCCAAATGAACTGAGGAACAGGACAAGATTCAAGTCAACTTTCAGCAATTCAGTGCACTTTGCAAAAGGATCTAAATTAAGCACATAGTTTTGTTTATTTTACACAAAGGAGACCACCAACATTTGCCATAAATTCTTCTAAACTTTTGAGGAAGGCCATCTTCTGCTTCCGATCCAGCGTAGGAGGAGTGCTGCTTGCAGTAAGCTTGTTGAAGGCATCTGCTAATCTCTGGTAAATAACTGGGTCTTGCTGACTTGACAGTAATGTCTCCACCAGTTCAGAATATTCAGTCTGTGGAAGAGACAAGTCACTCATAAGAATGGATCTTCCTCAGAGTATTATTCAGATGATCTATCAGTTACTGCATGGTGGGGTTGTCAGGGGCAGGGGCTCTGATACTACTATAGATGCTGACCTGTTTACATTCCCATTTTACAAGTGAAGTTCTATTATGAAATTATATAAGTAAGATCACACTGCTGTGAAGAGTTCAAACAATCTGGGCTCCAGCCCATGTGATTGCCAACTTTGTGATATTGCTTCTGTGTTGACAAAGCATATTATGCATTTTTTTTTACATATTGTATAGAACATAACCGTGTTACATGACTTTGAATAGTTCCCCAGAGATTTAGAGAGGCATCTATCCCTGTCCTGAGGAGAGCAGATGCACATAGGCTAATAGCAGGTATCTGGAGGAAGGATATTCCAGAGCTTTCTCATGGTAGAAGCAGACATGTTGAAAGCTTCAAGCTAGCACTGTACAAAGGCAGGAAAGAACTTCAATGAATAAAGAAATATGGAAATGCATTTTCTACTCATGAAGCCTTATAAAGGGTGGTGGATGGGGACTTAAGGTAAATTTTCCTAGTGCAGAGATATGCTCTATGGAGAAAGCTGATCTGGCACTATTTTTCATTAGCTTCTTGGGGTATCATTATAGATCAAAATAGTGAAATGTTGTAATATTGTCGGCAGAATGGCTCAAGTGATAGAGCGCCTGCCTAACAAGCATGAGGCCCTGAGTTCAAACCCCTGTACCAGAAAAAAAAAAAAAAAAAAAGAAGGAGAAATGCATCTGGAAAAGGATGGCCAAGAAATGACAGGTCCTGTGGGTCCGGGCCAGCAGGTGGTTACACTGCTATTCTCAAGTCCCTGCTCTTTTCTAAAAGGAATTCCTACATTCAAAAACAAACAAACAAAACAGACAGAAAAATGGTAATCATGTGGGGACAAGAAGCCTACCTTTTCAGTAAGCAACAAGGAAGTCAAATGTTAAGAGAAAGACCAGAGATTTGAGAGGGAGACACCTGCAGAAAATAGGCAGTAGAACTGAGGACAAGAAACAAAAACCCAGAGCACCTATAGCTCCGGATACAGATAGCACAGAAAGTCTGACAGAGGCTTTATAGGTATGGACCTCCTCAAAACCCTAGTGTTTCTAAAAAGGCAAATGAAATGCAAAGCTTCCCTAGATGGCTTGGCTATGCTGAGAAGTGTATATGCACATAGGGGAATGGAAAACTGAGGCAGTGCATGACCCAACACGGTACTTCCTTTACACACTTGAAGGGCGCCTACTCCATCAGAATAAGGAAGGAAGACGGCCATGTTACATGACTTTTCTTGTAATATTAAATGTACATGAGTGATGCTTCAGAATCTCAATGGTTCAACCAAATGAAATACCACACTGTTTTCCATAATATAAAATACTATATTGTTCTTTGTACCTTCTGAAGGCAATCTGATTCATCCCATCTCCTTTGCAAATCTGAGTTCTTCAAGGATAGGAACCATGCACTCATGACTCACCCATTTCTGTGTTCCTGGCTCCAAGCAGTGATTTAAGTACAAGCTCTGAGATGTAATCGCTACAAAGAATGGCTAATAACACAGGAGAAGGGAAAGTAAGTGCTTTTGGGCTAGCAAACAGCTTACCAGATAAAATGAAATAAAAGCCCAGAGCTAATCAGAAAACTAAGAAACACTGCCTCACTGAAATGTAACTGGAACGCTGAGTCCCAGATCTGCTAAGAACTGGTGTCGAAGGCCCATCATTTCCCCAAATGAGAAGAGGCCCCTGAAGAGAGGCATGTCCAGTACCTGGTGCAAACACACCAACGTGTAGAAAGCTTCACCTGCCGCAGTGGTCATCTCAGTGTTGTGCTTTTGCAAAACGAGCATATCAAAAACCAGCTGAAATTACATAATAAGATTTCTAAATAAGAACACAGGATAATCATAAAATTCTCTAGCCCCACCCAGTCCAAAAAGAGAAAAAGAGGGACGGCAGTTATATTTGATTTATTACACCAATCCAAATATTAAAGAAAATGGTTTATAAGAAATTCTAAGGATAATCTACAGATATTATGACTTGCTGTATCTGAATAATCAATTTATTAAGTTATCTATTATATTAACTACATTGATTTTCAACACAAAATAAAAGTAGATGAGAATATTATGTCCCTGAAGAACTGATCTCCAGAAAACATAGTAAACAAAAGTACTTATTAACTACCCTCTGAAAAACTGTAAGCATTTCCTCATTTGAATCAAGAATTGTGTTCATTGATAGTACTTATCACAGTAGATGATTTTTTCACCCTGCCAACCAAACACCTTACCTTAAGAAAGTGCCGAGTTGCTAGAAAAAGTGGTGAATCTGTTTCTTGTGCTTTTGCACACTGTTCAGCTAACGGTGTCAAGGCCTCCAGGCAGAGCTGGCAAACCTCCGAACTCATTCTGATCATTGAGGTCAAAGAACAAACTACGTTGGATATACTAGACTTAGATCAAGTTATACCTAGTATCAAGTGCATGACTATTTCTAGAAATGAATACAGGTCTAGGACTGGTGATGTTCACTTGCTTCTGCAAGTGATGCATCCAACTAATGAGAAGTCATTTTATTCTTTACTGTCAAGGAACTGAGACAAGAGACCCAGCAACAAGACAAGACATGACCAACTAGGGCAGGAATGAAGGACCAACTTTGGGACAAGGGGCCAAATACCTTAGGGATCTATGAGAAGAGAGCAGGATCAAGCCAATTAACAAAAGAGATACAGAATTAGAATAGGTACAGAGATGACAGCTTTTTTGCAGAAATAAAACCAAGCCATAAAAGAAAAATGCAAATTTTAAAAACATTTCCCCACCAAGTAATAATATTCATTTAAAGGATATGATGTCATTCCTAGTTCTAGGGAGTACATCAGACTTTTAAACAGATCCTCAGGAAGCTGTGGTATTTTTTCAGGAAAAATCTCACAGATAAATGTGATTAATTTGTAGTATTGATTACAAAGGGTTGGAAACTGAAAAAGAAACATTAAGTATTTAGATGCTCAATAGTATCTAATTCTTGTTTTAATTAATGCAATAAAGTAACCTACAAGCTTGTATATAGTATAATGATTTCTTTAAAATATGTACAAGAAAAATAAATATGCGTAAGATATAGAAAATATTAAAATCTAAATAAATGTAAAAATAAGTTGCAGTAAAGGGAATCTTTCAGTAACCACTATGAAAAAAAGCAATATACAGTAGAAACAATTATCTTCTAAAGGGTAAATAAAAGCTACAGTCAATTCCAAAAATTTTATGTTGACCTTGAACAGATAAACAAGGTGTATGCCTGTAATCGCAGCTAACTACCCGGGAAAAAAATTAGTGATTCCCCATCTGAACAAATAAGCCAGGCATGATGGTGCATGTCTACGATGCTGGCTACATGGAAGGCATAGGTAGGAGGACAAGGTCTAAGGCTGGCCCCTGGCAAAAAGCATAAGACCCTCTCCAAAAATAAGCAAAAAAGGGCTGGGAGAGTGGATGCTTAGCAAGCATCAAACCCTAGTACCACCAAATATGAATAAACAATATAAATTAAGTAAAAGACCTGAAAATAAGGCCCCTTTGTAAATGTGGTTTCTATTCAAGCATGTTGGGAAAACAGAAGGTATACCAACTATTAAAATGCATAAAGTATGCATAAAGTAGAGTAATACTCCTTTATGCTTCCCCAAACTATTTTCTACTTGGACAATCCTGAGGACTGAGGTAAGAACAGGTAATCTAGTTTAACCACACTTGAGGAAATGCACATCTAAATGTGTAATGGTTTATTTGACCACACAACCAATCCCTAAAAGCACATCAATATACACAGTGAATTAAACTATCATGTTACTGTGTACTGCACAAACCCTTGGATCATGGGTGGTCAGAATGGTTTTCAAAAGACATCTCTCAAGAAGGGAAGCACATGGTGAGAGCCTGTTGGGCTAGGCCTCACAGCAGCACTCCTATTCATCTGATCCTTGCCTTCCAAACACTTCTCAGTCTCAGTTTTCCTCCATTTCACTACATGTTTATCTTGTGCACTCAAACACACCCCACTCTCTTCCTTTTCCACCCATGTCCTTGTCCTCACTTGACATTATTCTTCATAATAGCTCATAACGAACAGACTCCCCCTCCTGTATGGAACTTATGGAAGGAAGGAAAAGACAGCCTTATCACCCCTCACCACCATCCTACTAGTGACTAGTGAAACTGAAGCACAACAAAGTCAGAAAGTGCAAAAGTTTTAAATTGCATTCATCTTGGTTTCTTATCATCCCATTTCTACATGGAGCAACTTGAAAAAAAGACCTTTTCTGCTCAATCCCCTAGCCTGGGAATTAATTTTTAAAAATAGTGCATTTTCACCTGTACTTAACAGATTCAACTCCTTAATTTAGTAAGAGGTATATTATTGTCTAAAGTATCTTTGAACTTGGACAATATATAGTTTTCATGTTCACATTCACCTTCTTTAATTACCTTCAAAAGATCTTGTGACATCAAGGGGAGAATTAGGTTTACTCCATACAAAACAACATCAGCTGCAGACACAGATCTGTTTGCTGTTTGACCTGGTTCATGTCCTCTGAACACTTCATCTATTAAAATAAAAACAACACACTTTTATAGTTGTCAATTAAATCTTCAAAGTTCACATTCAACCTTTATCAAAACGAAAAGAAACTCAAGTTTAAAAGTCCACACCAACCCATGAGTGGGTAATAGAAATCTGATAAGCCTAGTGTATGCCATCCTTTGTCCCATCTGTTAAGGGTCTGAGTACTAATACAGCAGTATTGGGAGGTGAGAGCAAGAGACAGTCTAGAATTAGTCTAAATAAAAGCAATGATTAATTGAACATAAAATCTACTGATATGCTATGAGTTAAATCATTTCCATCATAACATCCATTTGATGTCTTAGGTATACGGAATCTTTCCAAGCTTAAAAGGAATGAAGAAAAATACAGACTAAAATTTTAATGTGTGTCCAGGTGTGATGGTGCATGCCTGTAATCCCAGAGGTAGAGGTAGGAGGATGAAGGTCCAAGGTCCAAGGTCCAAGCCTGGTCCAGACAAAAGCATGAGATCTTCTCAAAAACATACTAAAGCTAAAAGGGATGGCAATTTGGCTAAAGTGGTAGAACACTTGCCTAAGCAAGCATGAGGCCCTAAGTTCAATCCCCAGTATGGGGAGGGGGGAGGCAGTAGGCAACAGGCAGCTTAAAAAAGAACTAATATAGCAAAGGACTTTTAGTATATATACATTAAATCTACACTTAATGAGACTATTAAGAGCTAAACAGTGAAGTAAGCAGTATCGATGAACAAACATTGAACAAAACCTTGAATCCAGCTACTAATCAAGCAGTGCAAATTTTAAACAATACTAGTTTTGATTCACTGAACAGAAAATGATTTTTAAGTGACAGCCTTTCGTTGCTGGTTAGGATATGATATGATGGTTACCCTCAAAAGCAATATATTAAGCTCCCTTTCAGCATTTTATCTAGTAAAGTTATAATCAAACATTCAGACAGAGACTTGTCCCCAGAAATGCTTACTGTGTCATTGTTTATAATAGCAAAAATGTAAATATTTCTGATGTCCAATATTAAGGAAATAGGTCAGACTGTAAAATGTGGAATATTGTGCAGTAATTCCTATTAAAGGCATTTAGGAAAAAAGCCCTCTTCCCTCCCAGGTTTATAGGGCAGCTGCACTTTCTTCTGTCTGCTACTGAGAGAACACTCTGTAGAGCAAACAAGAAAGTTCAGTAGCACATTTAAGAGAAGTGAAGAAAACTTTGCAAATAAATGAGGGATACTTTGAAGATGCTTCTTAAAAATGTTTTGAAAAGCCTTTATTATCATGCCATTTCATTACTTAGTAAAGGCACTAAGTGGCTCTCCTCACATCATGCCACTAGTGGGTCACTCACTAAGCCAAGTAGCCTATCAATTCTGGATGCTGGGGCCTCCCAAACTGCACTCTGCAAAGTGCTAGGTTTGTTGGGGTGGCTACCTCAAAGGACATGGAAAGGTGATTAAAGTATAACTGAAGAGAATGGAGTTGAGAGTCATAGGCTGGGCTTTCAATTTTAATTTTAATACTAACTTACTAGCTAAGTTCTGTTCTATCTATCAAGTGGAACCCACTTCACTTAGTAAGAACTCAGTAAGAGGAAAAGCAAATAGAAGGGCTCTTATTCCTTACCCTCACTTCAAACAAGGACATCTACTTTTGTTTGTTTTGTAAAATGAACTTCATGGGACTTCACTCACAGAAACCATCTCTTGCTTTAATAAAAACAACAGCAAAGACAAGGAAGCTTAAAAATGACCACACTATATGTTACCTGTGTCACTGAAATCTATAAACTCTTTTGACAGAAGGTTAGTAAGAAGCTCCATAATAAGCAGCAGGTCTTGGTACTGTTCTTCCTCCGCTGTAACATCTATTCTTTGCCGTCCTAAATTATTCTTAGAATATACTTGCAACAAAGTAAGGCAGGCTTCATATAAGTTCATAGCTTTGGACTGTAAGAAAATATGCACAAGTTAGGCTACATGGCAGGATCTAGTTAGGAAACAGAAATAAAGTTTTACTCTGAATTTCAGTCATAGTTCTAATACTTGTTTTAATATTAAAACATTAATAAAGAAAAAGCATATATTAAGAGTATATTAATGGTTAGGGCAAGAATTCATTCAGCATTGCTTTCTCTGAATCAAGAGTTCTTCCTAAGTCTTCTTAGAAACTCTTTTGGGCCAAGCACCTGTGGCTCACTCCTGTAATCTTAGCTAGTTGGTAGGCCAGTATCAGTAGGATCACAGTTTGAAGCCAATCTGGGCAAATAGTTTTTGAGACCCTCCCCCTTCTCCAAAATAACCAGAGCAAAATGGATTGGAGGTGTGGGCTCAAGAGGTAGAGTTCCTGCTCTACAAAGGACCCCCAACCCCACCACCAAAAAAACTTTTGGAGGAATAAAAATATTATTTTAGGTAGCATGCATTAAATTTGAAGTATCAATTACTTTTTTATCGCTTTTAAAGAGTTTTAATTCTGAAGGGATAAAACTAGAAAATGCTTACCTCTCCAAGATAGCATATCTGTTTATGTGCAACTTCAACAAAAACTTCTATAATGAGGTTGACAGTCTCTGGGGTATTTTTGTAAACTTCCATCAACCCAATGCAATTGGTAAGGAAGTCCATTAAAAAATTGAAAAGAATGGCTACGTTGTCGATCTGAGTAGCCTCTGCAATGCCACACAGGGCCTCCAGTGTGGCAGTGATCTCCTGCTTGACTTCTTCTTGCTGACACAGCTGCTGAAAGTTTTCTTGGTTGATCACTCTCAAGAACCGCTGCTGAAGTGGCTGAAGAACCTATGAAGTACAGCGTGAACTTTTAAACAGGCTGCATTTATTTCCTCAATGTGGATCAATACACACTTTCTAAAACATTTCTCATTGCTATAGGCAGAACAAGCACAGAAAGCATGCTATACTCCCCCGTTCTGAGAGTAATCATAACTTCTGACATAAACAAAGAAATGGCAACCAAGTCATGAAACATGACTTTCTCAGTCCACCTTGTAAATTCTCAAAGTGATTAGCAAAAATAAATAAATAAATAAAATAAAGATAAAAAATTAAGACTCCACAGTAGGAATCAGCAAACTTTTTTCCTATACAGGCCCAATATAAATTTGATAAACATTTTAGACTTTGTACTCTTACTTAGAGTACAGAGCCACAGATGTAAACAAATGAGCAAACTATATCTCAATGAAACTTTATTTACATAAACAGAGGGCAGGGCACAACTGGCCATATGGGCTATAATTTGCCAACCTCCGCTCTACAGTCAAACTTAACACAAAACTCGCCTCTTTTTGTCCCTCCCTTACAACTCTTGACACAGAACATAGCTTCAGATAATCAGTCTTGCCCTGGGTATTAAGAGCGAGAACTCATATTCAAGAGGATAGTCCACTAATTCTATTCAAAGCTGTCCATATAATATAGTTATTTAAACTAGAAACACACAGCCTTGTTTTCTCTTGTCCCGAAGTCACATATGACCGCCTAATTCTGTTACTTTGTCCCTTCCTTCTTAGACATTAAGAGTATTCTAGACACAAGGACTGGAAGCCAAGAACCTACATACATACTTGGTCCCTGCTTTAGTATTTATTATGTAATGTGCCTTTTTGGTTGTAAAGCATGGAATTGTGTTCCCCTAAAATCCATGAACATCTGATCCGCTAGCATCTTAGAGTGTAACCTTATTTGAACAGTCACTGAGATCATTTAAGATGAGATCATAATGGAGTAAGGGTAGTCCCTAATTCAACATGGTATCTTATAAAAAGAGGAAATTTGGATGCAGACACGCACACAGGGAAGACTCCATATGAATGAACATCTAGGCAGAAATCAGGGCAATGTGTCTACAACCAAGGAATGCCAAAGGTTGTCAGAAAGTTACCAGAAGCTACAGATTCTTCCTCACAGACCTCAGAAGGACACAAGCCTAGACATTTTTATCTTGGACTACTCATCTACAGAACCATGAAAAAATAAATATCTGTTGGTTAAGCCGCTACATTTACAAATACACTAATTTTTTGGGGGGGGTGGGACTGGGGTTAGAACTCAAGGCTTCCGCTTGCTAGGCAGGTGTTCTAATGCTTGAGCCACACCTCCAGCCCCAAATGCGGTGATTAATTTGCATCCACTTATTCAAGACAGGGAATGTCTCACTAACTGTTCATGTCACTTTTGGGGAGGGGGGCAGTGCTGGGGATTGAACCCATGGCATTAGGCATGCTAGGCAAATGCTCTACCACTGAGCTATACCCTCTGCCTAAAAATTCTTGTCAAATAATAAGCTCCACCTATTCATTAGGAGGGAAAAAAAATTAGAAAAGCTATAGCTGAAATGTTTATATCTCCACAGGCAATATTGTGGCAACACATAGATCAAACTCTAGAGTTACATACAAGGATAAAACCAAAATAGAGGGGACTGTTACCTCTGTCCAATACTGTTGTTTGGTTTCTGTGTCCATATGTGCAAAACCTCCCAAAACCAGAGCCTTCATCAGTGTCCTCTGCACCGGACTTGACAGGAAATTAAGAGGTGGGCTTCTACTTGCAAATTGCTTAGCTAGATTCCACCAGTTTTCACACTGAATTACTAAGTTTGCCCTTAAGGTAGAAATAACAAAACATAAGATGTGTTACTTTCACTATATGTACATGTACTAAGAAGACAAAAATTGAAGATAACTAGATTTAATAATTTTTTTTTTAATGTGGGGTCTCAGTAAGTAGTTCAAGGTAGCCTTGAGCTTGAACCTCAGCCTCCTGAGTAGCTGGGATCACAAGTCTGTGCCACAATGCCTGGCTGGGTTTCATTAATTTTTAAAGCATAGTACAATCAAGTCAAATACAGACTTTCAAATCCCACAGGCTTGTATTCAAATCACCCTAGCTGTCTGACAGTGTGTTACTTATAAGGCTATTTGATGTCAAATCCTTCAACACTCAATGCCAGCCTCCATTATATCAGAGGAAAGGCCCATTTGCATTTGTAATCACAGTGTGATGCAGTTGTTAAAACTCACCATTCCAAAACTGTAGGGTCCACTTTGACTTAAACTTTGTAATCACTTGCCAGTTGAGAAGACTGCAGAAGAAAGCAAGCCCAACCTCCCTTGTTCTCACACATGTGGTCAGTCTAAACATGGGGCTTACCTTTCTCTTCTTTCCACCAAAGTGACAAGGAGCTGCACAGTATCATTTGCAAGGTCCTGCTCACTACTCCAGACTGAGAGGTTACTGATGACTTTTTGTAAGAGGTAGCCAATAATCCACTGAGAACCCTCTGTATCTGCTCCAAATGCTGTGCTGAATGGTAGACTTATCTTACGATATAAAATAAATTATGTAAGGTTAGAAAGAAAAATAAGCTGAAAAAATAATCCAAAGAAAAATCACATTGAAATTAACTTCTAAATCTGAAGTAATGCTTATTTCACATCAATTTTACAATTTATTCATTCCCACGAGTCCAAAAGGACATCCTCAATTTACCCACGTCTTCCAATGTGATTTTCTCCAACTTTATTCTCCCATTAATACACTAATATGGTATTTGAAAGAAATGCAAAGAACGTGTATTAATCTACTCCCAACCAGCAATCTGTATCTTAATTTTGGTTAAAGTAAATGGAATTGAATGATGCGCTCTTAAGAAAAGCTATATGACTAGTCATCAGTTCTCTTCAATGTGGAAGATGTTTCAGTTCAGTTCACTGTAATGAGAAAAGTCAACAAGAAAATGTTCCCACTTCTATTACTGTCATCATCCTAAATCCAAAAGAAGTTTAACAGTTTCACATTCTGACCTGATCATATAGTTTTTCATCCACCAGGAGATAAGTCTTGGCCCAGCGTTTTAGAAACCAAACAATATCTTTGCCCATTTGAGGGCTTAGTAGATGAGTGAGATCTGCTCGTATTGCTCGAGATTCAACTTCTGAAACTCTTAAAACAGCAGATAACAGCCTGTAGGTATAAAACACAGGTCATTTACTCTTTTATTGTTTAGTGGTTATCTAGCCATATTTTTCCCCCCTTAAAAGTCTTTTTCTGTTGCTCAACTCTCTGAATTTAATCAGACTTAAAATTTTATCAATGGGATTGGAGACAAATCCCCCTCACATGATTTCCAATCTTCCATGAAGCAGGAGACAAGGAGGAGAGTCAGTGTGAGGGCCATCTTTCTGCTGGTGTTGAAAATGTGCAAATTTCAGCATTACTGTCTAAGGAGTTTCCAGGTTCAAAATGGAGGAACATGTAAAATTAAATATTCAAAGTACATGCCAATTTCTTTTTCAGCATTTCATCACTCCTTAAAACTCCCCTTATATGCACAGTTTGTGTTTTTATATCATAAAATGCAGAACTGTTATGGTGTAAGATAAGGAAAGTGACTCATCTAGAATATTTTGAGTATTGAGTCTTATCTCCAAATCTGATAGTTATATTACTTTTGTAGTAAATAAATGTGACTTCTGATGGTATTATTATCTTGTGTGCAAGGCCCTGGGTTCAATTCCCCACACTGGGGGTAAGGGGGAATGGGGGGGAGGGGATTGGAGCAGTAGGGGAAGAAGAAGAAGAGAGAAAAATCTTGCTACAAAGATTTTCTACCAAATGTACATATTGCTATCACCTGCTATATGGCCACATGGTTTTAATAACAACATGACATTCAGATAAGTGAAAATATCTGTTCTGGGAGTGTGTGGCATGTGTGGACATAACCAGAAGCTATACATATATTTAACTCGACTTCAGCCAAAAGGCAAGGAATCAAATGATGCAACAAAAGAACTCGGTGCAAAGCCATTTCATGAGTTCTAATCACTGAGGCTTGACCTCTGCTCTGAAGACTGAAACCTCCTTGTAGTGAAAGTGATAGAATGTGTTAGAAGCCCTTGGCACAGTTAACCACTCTGCCCTTCAGACAGAACTCCTTCACTTGGCAACTCTGGCATCACAATTCCCATGCCCCCTCATCTACATGCTTACTCTTTCCCAGCCTTTATGACAGCCTCCTCTTTTTACCTCCTTTAAGTCAGGAAGTTTTTAAAGTTCCACCCTAGAACCTTTTCTTTTCTTACTATCCACATACACTTTATATGCCAGTATGCCAACTTTTGAAATTTATTTTAGGGCCTGTATGAACAAAAAATCCCAAGTGATCTCACATTTCATTTAAGTTGTACCAAATTTTCCCAATAAGATTAAATAATTTTTAAATATTATTTCCAGTCTAAGAATTAAAAATGAAACAGTTACATTAACAATTTAAACTTATGCACTGTAATTCGATTAGCATGCTCTGATAGCCACAACCACCATCGGCCACTCAGAACATACAGAAAAGTTTATTTCATTTCCATAAAGAACATTATTCTAATACAATGAATTTATACCCTCAAGTATTTTCCTGATCATACACAATTGTCTACAAAGACAATGATCATAAGACTATAAGTAGTTAAATGTCTCCTTGGTTGAGTTACCTTTGTAATACTTTAAAAAGTATAGCACTGAGCTAACCACAACACAAAATTGTATGTATATGTACTTATTCAGGAGCCTGAACTCATTTAAGCCATGCCACAGCACTTTTTTGCTTTAGTTATTTTTTAGATAGGGGCTTGCACTTTCTGCCCAGGGCTGGCCTCCAACTGCAATCCTCCTACCTATGCCTCCCAGTGTAGCTAGGATTACATGTGTACCACCAGGGTCAGCTTGTTTGTTGAGATGGGGGTCTTGATTACTTTTTGCCCAGGCTGTCTCAGAACTTCGATCTCTGCCTCTGGAGTAGCTGGGGATTACAGGCATGTACCACCATGCTAGGGTACAATACAAATTTAAGTTATAAAACAGAAAAAAAAATGTCCATCTCTTGAGGCTAAAGTAGCAGGATTTTGTTTTTCCACTTAGTTCATGTTTTTCCCACATTCCCAAAGCCAGAATGAGCCAAAGCCGAGCACAATTTGATTCCTATTTTTCACGTGAATAGACAACATGCTGAAAAACCTTGTTCATATAAAAAATAGAAGATATTTTAAAAACAGCAAGGTCACCCAGTTACTTGAATTTCTTTCAAGTTATAGGACAAAAGCCACAGAAATCTACAATGAAATATTCTTCCTAATACTCTCTTAGCTAAGACTGGTCCTGCTCAACGTTATTAGGACAGTGGAATGACCATTGGCTCTGGCTGTTCAGAACTGCCCTGGTACTCCGCAGGCTTTTACATACCTGCTAATCCACAAGTAAGGTATGGAATGAGCAGGAGCTCGAGCCTTTCTTTTGTCAAGTGGAAAAAAGGTGAATCAAAGAGCAGTTAGGGCAGAGGTAAGAAGCCTTCCTCCACCTTTCCATTCTCCTCTCCACCATACCCAGCAATCAGAAAAGGCCCGGAGTGTTCCCTCACAAAGACTTTGCAAACCCTATGGCCTCCGTATGTCTTCACCCCAGGGTGGCTAGATAAGTGCGTCCCTGTCAGCCTCTAAACAATTCACTTCCCTGCAAATCCTAGCCTCCTCCCATTTTCATCTCACCTACCACATGCAGCCCTCCTCTGCTCCATGGTCAGTTACACAGCATGAGTTCTGCCTGTGCTGCTGTCACTGTCCAACACTTTGCCTTCCTCTCATTCTTCAACAGCACTCTAAATGTCATTTCTTCCAGGAAGCTCCCTCTACCAGCAGATTAGGTGAACCTAGGTACTCCAACACCACTGTACTATACCCTCAGATCATAGCTCAAAGAGGAGTCGAAGAACAATTTATTCAAATATTTTTTGATTGTTCACATTTCAAGGTCAATACCCCTATCCATTCCAGACAGCACTCTGTTTCCCAAGTCAGTCCTGAATTACACTGCATTTCCTAAGTCAGCACAATAAATTAAACAGCACTGTCTTTAAGTTCTCACCATTTCCACTACTGTCACTGTCTGGACACTGTCAACTTTGCCTCGGTTACTACAAGCACCTCATAACTGGTCTCCCACTTCTACCACCCACTGTTAATGCAGCCATCAGATTAACACCTTTAGGATGTAAGCAGTATGCTCAAAACCTTACTATACCACCCTGCTTAACTCAGAGCAAAAACCAGAGGTGTTTGTTACAAAGGCCTGAAGACTTTACCTGGTTTCTCTCTGTTTCCCAACGCCATCTCTTATAAAATTCCACCTCACTCCATTCGGCCCACAATAGCATTCTTGCATACCCAGACATTTTGCATTAGCTTTTTGTTCTGCTTGGAATGCTCTTCCCCCAGACACCTCCATGGCTCCCTTACCAATCTCAAGTCTTGCTTGCAAGTTACCTCCTAAATAAAGCCTGTATGGATCACCCTACTAAAAACTACAATCCTTGAAGTCTGCACTCCAGGCCCCCTATCCCATGTGATTTTTTTACCCACAGCATTCACTATTTCTAAACATATCACATCATTTACTTACTGATCATCTCTCCCTTACAAGTGCAAAAAGGGAAGTAAATTTTTGCTGTTTTTTTCCCTAACGTATTCCAAGCACCCACTAAAGTGCCTAGTATACAACAAGGGTTCAATAATTCTTTGCTAAATAACTGATTCTTTAAGAACGTGAATTCCATTTAACCCAAACAAAGAGTACTTCTCCCACACACCAGTCAACTTCACACTAATTCTTTGGATTAAAACAATGTTTTGCTTTGTACCAACCCTTCATAGTCTGTGCTCTCAGATACAAGTTGTTTTGTTACCATATTGATGCCTGAGACTTGAAAAAAATCGAAAAAGCACTTAAAATATAAGGAAAACATTCCTAATGATATTATCCAGACAAGATATATAACAAAGAATATATAACATGAAGACACTCTGAAATGAATTCTTTGAAATTAACATTCACCATGAAACAAACCAAAGCAAAAGAACTGATTTCCACAAACACAAAATGTAATGACTATAGTAATCCCCAAAGGGAAATTACAAAAATTTTCAATATAGTATTGATTTTATTACAAGCAAGAACACAGCATGAAGGAAATAAAGCCCTACACATTTCCTTGCTACTTTTCTGCTGTTTAAAAGATGCAAAATGTTTGAATTACTGATTCTGCAAACTGACAAAACCAGTATTATTATCATTACTGACATCTCTGCCTAGAATCTAAATTTAAACATGCTAAAATTTAAAGTTCTGTCTTCAAATCCAGCCTTGGGAACACACTTAACCCAGGTTCACCCCACCTAACTTCACAGTTAATAATGCATGAGAAAGGTGGCATTAGCCTTGGTAAGATTTAAGTGTACCTTCTGACAAAGGCACTCTGTGGTCTTCTAGTTGCCCCGACAGGGCTCAACTCTCACAATCAGGAGGAGCACTTCCATATTCCTTAAGAAAGTCACTGAGACCATTGTAGCTCTTGTGAACAATCTGGTTTCTAAGAATCTCAAAGTCTTTTCTTTCTGATTACGGGAGCCAGTACATGCATCAGTACTGCTTTCTGATGGACAAGCACTGTGTGCCTAGTATGTTAGCTCCAATGTCTCTCGTATTCAGAACAACTTTTCATTTGTTCTGTTCAGTACACAGCTGTTAGTTCCCAATAGATTAGAGTTGCCTAAGATACTGAGTGCTTGCCATACTGTGTATTTCAAGGCTTCTCCCAAGTTGTCTTTTCTCTCACGTATCTGATTTACAGTGTGCCTAGTCCCTCCAGTCATCTACCCGTCCACTCAGAAGTTATAACACAGTATAAATTACAAGAGCACAGCTATAGAGTTCATATTACCTAATCACAGAATCTGTTCTGTTGTACCCTGGGATGGAAGAAGCCTTTTCTCCTGGAGATCCCAAAATTTGAAGTGTTGTATTAATGTCAACTTCAGATGAATGCTTAATGGAATATTCCATTATTTCTGGAGGTATTAGCGGAGTCTCTCCCTGAGTATCATCAGCTAAGAGGTAGCCTTCAGTTTAAAAAAAATTAAAAATGAACACTTTACAAATCTACATTTACCAAGTTGCACTATAAATGTTTTCAGTTTTATTTGATTTATATCTATCACATAAACTGATGTAAAATTATAAATGTTAATCTATTAATTTCACCTTGATGAGAAGCAACTTTCAATTTCTGATAATTAGCCCTCAAAAATACAATAAAGTAGAAATGTTTTATTGATCAATTTTATAATTCATAGTAAAACAGGCTTTTAAATCTACTTTTTAGTAATTTTCAGTAATATGCTTTGTAAAATTATTAGAAATTCTATTATCTACATCAGAAACCAACACCGAGGAGTGCCTTTCCAAAAGTCAAAATTTTCTCCTGTTTAAAATAAACAGTATGGTGGTTAAAGAAGAAGACCCTAAATGTCAGACTGCCTAGACTTACATTTTTGACTCCAAAAATTAACAGCAGAAAACTAGACCATGGGATAGTTTTACACTTTCAGCTTCTTCACCTATTAGATGGGACTACAATGATACCTAACAGCACTAATTCAGTGGGCTACAATTAGGACCACATGACACAGTTGGTGTGCAAAAGGCAAAAGACACTGACTATGTGTTAGCCAGTATCTTTCTTAATGCCTCCCATAGCTCTGTGTCAGAAAACACCTTTATCTAAATTTTATCCAGTATCACATATGAACTTTTGTTTTGTTGTTTTTTTGAGACAGGGTCTTGTTATGTAACCCAAGCGGGCCTCAAATTTGCAATTGTTTTGCCTCCACCTCCGAGTGCTGGGATTACAGGCGTTTATCATCATACCTAGCTCTGAACTATTAGTTTTACTGTATGAAGCTTTTTTTTTTTTTTTTTAGGGCTTAACCTGTTTGGTTGGCAACTATGTCTTAAAAAGAAACAACCAACCTGTAACTAAAATAAGCCAGTGGATATCTTCATAGAGATCATCAAGCATTTTGTTGTCAATGCTGCTTGAGCCAGGTGAAGCAAGTAATTGCTGCTGATGTCGCTGTAACTGACCATGGAGTCTTGTTACTCTTTCTTCTAATAAACTAAAGAGTAAAGAAACAATAGATTCATAAAGTCCAATATGCAAAGACAGAGAACGATTTATAACTTCCGTATAACTAAACAACATAAATTAAGATGTCAGCGCAAAAACACATATACAAAAGTATTATAATACACAATTGTTCTCACAGCACTATAGGAATTGTGATTTACTCTTTTATGTCACAGAATTAAAACAATACTTTACAAACAATCAAGGTTTTACAAGAGGCATTTGAAAACTGGCTATTCCAAATTTTTATTGATATGGGTTCAAATCATTTCTCATACCATGTTTTCCATAACTTCTCTGCCATCTATGCTGTAGTGCCTGGGCTCCAAATGTATAAGCCAAAGAATGCAATCATGAGTATGTTTCTGTCCATTTGGTCCAGTGTGCTGGGATACAGGGTAAGGGTGTCTTTAAACACTTTAAGTGCTCTCCAGGGAATTGTGAATAAAGAATATTTGCTCCATGGGGTTTCTTTGCACCGTGTGTACCTTGTCAGAAGAGGTATACAGTGATCTGCAGCAATTCTTCCTAGCATTCCTACACTGGCTAGTTGATCAGAAAACTGGTCTCGATCATCTTCTTGAAGTTCACTTATTTCTTCTTCCTCACGAGAGGCCACGCCATTGGCAGTCTATTAGTAAGAGAAACAAACAATGAGGAACTGCACTACCTCCATTGGTAAGACATGAATTTCTGTGGCTCTGTAAAACAGCGTCAGTACTGCACATGGAAAGGAGAGCTAGACAGAGGCAACCTTCCAGTACGCTACCTAGGGACTCGTCTCTAATCACGCCAGCAGGTCTAGTGTTTATCAAAAGGAAATAAAATAAAGAGGGATCACTTCCCAGTAGACATGGCAAACACAACTTACTGTATACCTACAACCCACCTCCCACTCTGGGAATGTCACTTTTCATTGAAATGATCTGGCATCTTTAAGATCCCAGGTATTTTGGATACAGGAAGTCACCCTTAGCACTGGACAAGTGGTTGGGGAGGAGGGCAGCTACTGAAAAAGAGTTGATTAAGCCAACATCCCATGGGTGGGGACAAGGTTCAAGTGGTAGAGTGCCTGCAAGCAAGTCTAAGGCCCTGAGTTCAATCCCCAGTATTTGGGGGGGAAGCGGGGAGAAAAGAGAAAAAAAAAGAATAAAGCTTAGCCAAGACCTGGTGGCTCACACCTTTAATCCCGGCTACTTGGCAGGCTAAGATTGGGAGGAATGCAATTTGAGGTCAGTCAAAGCAAATAGTTCGAGACCCCCTCTCCCCCCATCTCCAAAATAACCAGAGCAAAATGGACTGGAGGTGTGGCTCAAGTGGTAGAGCGACTGCTTTGCAAGTGTGAAACCCTGAGTTCAGACTGCAATCCCCTTACCCCCACCCCAAAAAAAGGCAACACCCCACATATCAAAAACTCACTTAGACAACAAGGACCACTTTTGTGCTCAGCAAATATTCTGAGGGAGCCTATCGTAAATTTCTAGTAGTATGTGATAACTATCTAAAACAATGAAATAGAACCTGTAATGATTTTTAATTATCACTTGGCTTAAAACTTACAAATTCTGGGTTGGTGGGGTAGCTCAAGTGGCTGAGCACATGTCCAACAGCTAAGGGCCTAAGGTCAAACCCCAGTACCACCAAAAATTTTAAAAAAAGATAATTTACAAGTTTTTTTTTTTTTTTGCTATGAGACAGGGCCTGACTATGTTGCCCAGGCTGGCCTTGGACTCCTGGGCTCAAGTAATCCTCCTGCCCTAGCCTTCCCTGCCAAAAATAAAAAACTTACCAAATTCCGTGTGCCATCTGGAGCAGCTAGGTGGCACTGAATATAGGAATTGAAAACTTGAACTGCATGCTGGGTAAAAAAGCCTTTATGGAAATGCTTGTCATCTTGGACCAAAGTTAGCCAGGACTCCAGCAACTTATCATATGCTTCCATGTACACCATGTCATCCTTATCGAGCTGAAAGAAAAGAGCATTTATAAAGCCAATGTCCAAAGAAAGAAATGGGCATTATAACAAGAGTCACATAACTATGCACAAAAATAATTTTATAAGACGTTCCTAAGAGAAAGACAAGAAAAGAGATTTCCTGGAACTCCTGTGCTGGGATTACAGGTGTGCACCAACATGACTGGCACAGATTTCCAATTATTAAGTTTTTATTAAGCTTTCTAAAAATCTTTCTAATTTCAACCAAAATAATTCTTAGGAATTAATGTTTATTTTAGAAAGTTAGCAACTTAGTGCTGTAAAGTACATATTTTTCAAATAATAATACTATTAACATTTTTCTATAGTCAGGAAGAAAATTTTTTAAATAAAGGTAAAATGTACACTTCTTACAAATTTTTTTCCAGTGCTGAGATGAAATCAGGGCCTCACCCAGTAGGCATGTGCTCTACCACTGAGCTATAGCCCCCAAGCCCAACATTCTTTTAGTGATCTGAATAAATGAAGAATGATTAAAATGGACTGACCTAATCAGCACAGCTTAGAACATGTGAGATCATCATCAATGTTCTTTAGTAAGAGAAAGCTCATTTAATAATGAAAAAGAAAAATTCCACTTAATAGGAAAGTATTAATTATCTTTAAGAAGTATAGATGCTGCTAACAAAACAAAAAAAATGTAGGTGATAAGAGACATGGCTCAAAGGCCAAGTTCAAACCCCAGGAGTGCGCACACGCACATGCGCGCACACACACACACACACACACACACGCATAAAAGGAACTGATTAAACTCATAATGTCAAAGGTGTCCCTTCATTATGAAAAATCAAGTCAAATAAGCACAGTTTGTGAATGCAGAAGTGAGTAATTTCCTCCCTCTTTTTGGTTTAATTTTATAGGTTTTCTTCCTTCAAAGGAAAATGTGGAAAACACAGAAAAAGAGACAAGTAGATAATAAATTCAGGTGAAGCCAGGTCTCGCCCTGCCTAAACCTCTGTCAAGCTAGCTTGACTGGGCCTCTCCCTGACAGAACCATACAACTGAATCTATAGGTGATAACATTAACAACTCTGTAATTATTAGGTTGTTATTCTTAATTTTCCTCTTTCCCATTCTTTCCTGTTCAGGAATAGCTACTATTGCCCAATTAAGTTTTATGCAAAAACTAAGCTACTGAGAAACGAGAGAGATGGGGTACGTCAGCAGGCTACTCTACAGAACTATGTGTGGCCCAAAATCTTCTTGATCACAACTAGTACTTTGCTAAAAAGCCACTGTACTTTAAAAGCTGCCAAGGCCAGGAGGCAGGAATGAGCTAGGGATTTCACACAACAAAGAGAATGCCACTGTACCAGAACAGGCAATGACAAGTCACAGCACAGCACGAAGTGAGAATGGGGTAGCGGGAGAACAGATCCAGACAGCCTTCACAGGCTGTGACCAGGCTAGGCTTCCTGCTAACTGCAGCAAGAAGTTACTGCAGCACCCCAAAGAAAAGCACACTGCCAAGTAAGAAGGTAGCTCAGGCAAGGGAGATGTGGTCAAGTGGCCACACTGGGTACAGATTAAGGAGGAAGGGCTGGTAGGATACAAATGGAATAAGAAGTCTGACTGCAGGGGGTGGGGCGGGGCGGGGGAGCGGAACAGCCTGCACACCTGAATTGGTATCTGAGCAGCTGGGAAGACGGTGATCTAGTTCTTAAATTGTTGAAGATTAGGTGAGATGACATGTTGAGTTTCAGATGCAGAAAAGGAATCCAAGTGGGAAGATTTAGTTCGCTGTTTGATATACATTTCATTGTAGGGAAGAGTTCAGAACTACAATGACAAATTTGGCATCTCCAGCACCAAGAAACCCTAGTATTTGTTTCTTAAAGTTGTAAAACCAGAATAATTCACCAAAGAAGGAAAATACTGATAGAGAATAAGCACAAAGACAGTGCACACACTGGGGGGTGCCTGAGGAAGATGCAAGGCGAGAGGAACACCAGGAGGGAGTATGTGGCAGGCAACATGCAGGACGATGAGATGGAGAGCCAGAAAGACAGCAAGTGATGCAATCTAGAAGGAAACTAACAATTACACAGTATGTCAGGGCTGCTCTCTCATCTCTAGTCTTTACTACTATGATTCTCTTTTGCCAGTTTGAAAAGACTATTTCATTTTAAATACTCATAAAATAAGCCATCAGAAGTCTTATAAGGAACAAAAAAGGCTATAAAAACATTAAGTCATCTTTTTTTTTTTCTTTTTCAGACAGTCTCACTACATAACCATGCTGGTTGGTGTTCTCAATCCTCCTGTCTCAGACTTCCAAGTTCAAGGGATTGAATTTTTGTGCCACATGTCTGGCTTAAGTCATCTTTAATACTGCTTCAACTGATCTGTCCATTTGTTTTCTTCATTTTCTCTAGGAGTTAGCCTTCATAAATCAAGCTGTCTGATTTATGGAAGAGCAGTTGTGAAGAGTCTCTTACTCTAATGTAAAATAAGAGACCACTTAAAGAGTTTATCAAAAACCGAAACTTGGGAGGTAGAGACCAGGAGGATCATGGTTCAAGGCCAGCCCAAGCAAAGTTAGTGAGACCATCCCCCATCTCAATAAACAAGATGGTCATGGTGGTGTATGTCTTTAATCCCTAGCTACCCAGGACACTGTAGTTAGGAGAACTGCAGTCTCAGACTGGCCCCAGACAAAAACATGAGACCCTATCCTAAAAATAGCTGAAGCAAAAAAGGGCTGGGAGTATGGCTCAGGTAGCAGAACACCACCCAAAATAATGATAATGATAATGATAATTAATAATAATAATAATAATACAAAGACAATTATGGTGATTGTTACAGTGAAAGGATATATAACAAAAACAGTGCTAAATGCCCAAGCACAGCACTCAATGTTATTAGAAGTGGAAGAAATTGGTTTTAGTTCTTCAACAAAAATTTATAGACTGCTAAAGATTCACTACAATCCCAACCACAACCCAATTTTAAGAACTGACAAGGGAACTCCTCCTACCACCTTCCTAGATGTCCCCTTATGACACAGAAATAAATGAACAAGTTGAAAATGACTGGAGAGCTTATGAAAGACACACATATGTGAAAAATGACCATTCAATAAATGTTGCTGGGGAAGGGTAGATGTCTTAAATAAGAAACCAAAATTACTAGTTATAAAAGAAATAACAGTAATTCCAACTAAGCCAGGAATGGTGGCATAGCCTAGAATTCCAGCACTTGGGAAGCTGAGGAAGAGGACAGAGAATTCAAAGTCCTGTCTCAAAAATAAAAATGAAAGTAAAATTACTACAATAAGATGAGGACCATTTGTTCCTCGAAAGATACTATGCAAATGTGGTATTCAGGACTGGATCTTGGAACAGACAGAAGAGACTATAGGAAAATTTGGTGAAATCCAAGGAGGGCCTGTAGTTAATTACCAATAATATAGCAGTGTTAATTTCTTAGTTTTGGCAAATGTATCACAATTACGTGCGGAAAAGTGGCTAAAAGCATATGGGAACTCTCTGTTCTATCTTTGCACTTCTCTATAAATCTAAATTTATTCCAAATTAAGAAAAAAATAAACCATAAAGTGAAAAAGGGGGCCACAAAACTGGAAGAATAGATCTGCAACACATATAACACATATAACCAAAATAACAGCAAAAAAGCATGCAGAACATAAAAGGCATTTCCACAAATCAAAGACAAAGCGGCCCGACAAGTAAATGTGCAATGGATATGAACAAACACTTCCGAAGAATACTGAGAATTATAGACACATATGCACATAATATATACATCTATAAAGATGGCTAATGTTATTATACTTGGAAAAACAAATTAAGACAACCCTCCCTGCCCTGTGTGAGATGAGGTCTATGTTGCCCAGAACTCCAGGCTCAAGGGATCTCAGTCTCAGCCTCTCTAGGAGCTGGGCACAGGCCACCCATTGCTTTTTTTTGTTCGTTTGTTTGTTTTTGTGGTACTGGGGATTGAACCCAGGGCTTCACAAATGCTAGGCAAGTGCTAATGAGCTGCATCCACAGTTCTTTTTTTATTTTATTTACAAAAGAAGGTCTTGCTTCCTTTGCTGGGGACATCTTTGAACTCAAGACCTTCCCTGCCTCTACCTCTCAAGGAGATGAGGTTCTAGGCTTGAGCCACCATGCCGCTTTTACACTCACCCACTCGACAGCACTCACCCACTCACCCACTCGATCACCCCCTCTTGGATACCGCCCTCCAAATATTGGGAGCGCCATTCTCCCACTTTACACTTTTTTATATCAATGAATTCTCCCACTTTACACTTTTAAAAAATGTGTACTAGGAAACATGAAAAAGAATGTTTATTTCAACAGTTTGTGATGACAGAAACTCAAAAAGTTCATTTACAAGAAAAAGGAAAAATAAGTTGTGGTATAATATTCACACAGTGACATATATGGACAAGTATGTATCATTAAAAATTTTAAAGCCAGGGAATACAATTTCAGAACAGTGGTCATGTCTGCTGTGGGGACTAATGTGAGGGAAGGGAGCCTGAGACAGTGCACCAGCAATGCCAACCAGGCACTAGTAATGCACAATCAGGTCATGGGTTCAAGCATGGTTACCTCACAGTTTCATAATAAAATAATCTGGTGGTTTTGAAAAGATAACAGGGGAGGAGGGACAGTAATAAAAAGAAAAATGGAATATCTATCTATCCATCCATCTATCTATCTATCTATCTATCTATCAATCATGAGCAAAATCAGAGCTAAAATACCCAAGCACAGTGGCCAATCTGTCATTAGCAGCAGGAGAAAGTAGTTTTATTCCTTCAAAATAATTTATTAAATGGTAAGAGCTAAGCACTGGAATGATACGGTCTTCCCATAGAAACATCTGTGGCCTGTTTATATACTTAACAAAGCATGTGCTTCACAGACATCATTTGTTAGGTCTTAGCAGTTTATCTTGCCAAAATAAACAGACTAGTAACATATCTTAAC